ATTGTAGAGGACATTTGACAGGGTGAGGCAGTCCCTATTCTGGACCGGTCGTAACAGGCGCCAACAACATTTGAGAACCATCGGTTTGTGCCAAAGAGTCGGCAGTCCGAAGTCCGGACCACCAAATGCAGTATTATGGAGGTCAATAGAAACAGCACAGGAAAGGCTGACACAGACGCCTACCCACGCTTTCGTTAGAAATAACACAGGAAAGGCAGTGTCACTGGGTAGACATCAGTTGTCGAGGCAGCCGAGACAGGCGCCTTGTGATGACTTGCAAGACAGCACATGAGACTACCCACGCTTTCGTAGATGTTCGGTTTGAGAACCATTAGTTTTTTCCAAACAGTCGGCAGCCCAAAGTCCGGACCCACAAATGCACTATCATAGAGGACAGTACAAAGAGCACACGAAAGGCAGTATCACAGGATAGACATTAGTTGTCCGGACGAACTAAACAGGCGCCTTGCGACGCCTTGCAAGACAACACATGAGACTACCCACGCTTGCGTAGTTGTTCGGTTTGAGAACCATCTGTTTCTGCCAAACAGTCGGCAGTCCAAAGTCCGGACCACCAAATGCACTGTCATAGAGGACAGTAGAAAGAGCACAGGAAAGGCAGTATCATAGGATACACATCAGTTGTCCAGACGGCTGAAACAGGCGCCTTGTGACTCTTTGCAAGACAACACATGAGACTACCCACGCTTTCTTAGATGTTCTGTTTGAGAACCATCGGTTTGTGCCAAACAGTCGGCAGTCTAGAGTCCGGGACAACCAAATGCACTATTATAGAGGTCAGTAGAAAAAGCACAGGACAGTCATCATCACAGGACACACATCAGTTGTCCAGACGGCCGAAACGGCGCGATGCAGTCCAACACGACGAGGAAGGAAAGCCTTGTGTGTGCATGTTGAGAACCTTCCGTCAGGGGTGGTTATCGTGTTGGATCCGATGACCAGGATACGGCAGACACAGTATCACAGGATAGACATCGGTTGTCCAGACAGCCGAAACGGTGCGATCGAGTCGAACACGACGAGGAAGGAAAGCCTCGTGCGAGCGTGTTGAGAACCTTCCGTCATGTGTGGGTATCGTGTTGGATCCGATGACCAGGGTACGACACATGGCAAACAATCTTCTTTTTTTGCAGTATTGCTTCCATGATATTAGGAGCATTAGCCGCAATGGCTCAAAACAAAGTCAAAAAACTTTTAGCTTATAGTTCTATTGGCCATGTGGGGAGGCTTCTCAGTGGATAACGCAACCTTAGTGTGACCCGTTGACCTATAAACGCCGTAGGACGTGAAATGGTCGTTGCCCACGAAATGGACAACAATTGAAACCGGATGCAAGGCCTGCCTCCGTCGATATGAGCTCTTGGGAGTCATCAGCCTGTTATCCCCGGCGTACCTTTGATCCGTTGAGCGAGAGCCCTTCCACACGGGGCCCCCGGATCACTATGGCCGACTTTCGTCTCTGTTCGAAAATTGACGATGGCCCGGTGGGATTGAATTCATTGATTGCTCTAGCTTACTGAAACCTCACGGAGCATAAGTTTTCTTTCCGGGTGTATAGCTTAGTTGGTAGAGCATTGGGCTTTTAACCTAATGGTCGCAGGTTCAAATCCTGCTATACCCATAAGGCCACGAAGTGGGGATACACAAACCACTTTTTTCAGAAGGTACCGAAGGTGATATTTCTTGCAGTGCACTAGCCTTCCATAGAAAATATTCTTCTTGAATTTGGCTATGTCGAATAAAGAATCTTGCATTCTTATTGAATATTTTGAGTGAACCATCTCCCAGAAGAGATCCTAAAATAATTGCTTAAGATGCTAGCGCCTAATCCAGGATCCCACGAAGGATCCCACGAAGGCGCGAAGCTAGGGTACTTTGATTCATAATATTGAATGGAATCCAGGCCAAGGTGCCAAATTCGTTCGGGCTGCAGGGACTTTTGCTCAATTGATTCAAAAACATGAGGCAACCGTCAGGTTGCGGTTACCCTCAGGCGCGTTAGCGTCTATAAATT